GGGGCTCCCACCCCCAATGCTGGCATCACTGTGCGCGGAAGGGGCGGCTCTAGGGCCCGGGAGCAGCCGAGCTGCGGAGCCCGGAAACCCCGAGCGGGCGGGTGAGCAACTGCGCTCAGGAACCAGAAACAGCAACAGAGATTTCCGAGCTTCTCGCAAAGTCTGGGAGGGGGTGGAGTGGGCACCAAAGGGAGCGAGGCTCCGGTGCAGAACACCAGTGAGATGCAAGTGCCCCCTTCACCCGAGCAGCGTCGGAAGGGAGGTCATCCAGAGGCTGCCACATGGCGAAGCCCGAGCTTCATCCCGAATTGTTTTGAACTCTTTCCTGGCAGCTTAGAGAGGCACAGCGAGCACACTTTTAAAAATTGTAATAATAAATGGTCTTTATCTTTGAAAACATATATATATTTGTATTGATTTCTGAGAGGGAGAGATGAAACATCAATAATGCTCAACCACAGAGCTGGTTCTTTATCTTGGAAGTATGGGTTTCAAGATAAAAAGAAGTGTTCCCAATTAAAAGCAGTTTTGTTTTTTAAAGTGCTTCCTCATCTCCAGCTAGAGATCCGATTCAGTAGTTCAGAACTAAGTATCATTACTGTGTGTTTTTTTAAGAAAAAACGGCACTCACCAGTGGAATGTTAATCATAAAAAATGAATGAAGCCCTGGCTGGTTTGGCTCAGTGGATAGAGCATCAGCCTGCAGACTGAAGTGTCCGGTTTGATTCTGGTCAGGGGCACATACCCTGGTTGCGGTCTTGATCCCCAGTAGGGGGCGTGGAGGCAGCCAATCAATGATTCCCTCTCATTGATGTTTCTCTCCCTCTCCCTTCCTCTGAAATCAATAAAAAATATATTTTTTAAAAAAAGAATGAAGAATGAGGAAGGAAAGGATGTGGGGGGGAATACAAATATATTTGTATCTGCTAACATTAAAAAAAGAAACACTAGGTGGATAAACCAAAAACTAATTTAAAGAATATTTATGTGGGATATATCTGATAAAGGGTTAATATCCAAAATTTATAAAGCACTCATACAACTCAACACCAAAAAAAAAAAAAAAACCCACAAATAATGTAAGTTAAAAATGGCTGCAGGACTTGAATAGACACTTCTCCAAAGAGGACATACAGATGGCCAATAGACATATGAAAAGATGCTCCAAGTCACTAATCATCAGAGAAATGAAAATTAAA